TTCCTCAGTTTAGTTAAAATTAGTGTCACAGACAAACTATTTTGTCATTTCATTTAAATTTGTCATTAAATTTAATTAATTTAAATTATCATTATCATTTAACCTTCTATTTGATTTTTAGCTCAATGGAGTCGGATAATGAATGGATCAGTGGCTTTCTTTATTTTTGTTTCTATATTCATTTTTTTTGCCAAAGATAATTTACGCATCTGGCTCTTATTGGTCTGAATCTACCATGTTCTTGAAGAAAAGATCGAGTAAAACATGTTGTATCTCAAATGTCAAAGGAGAAGCAATCTACGAGAAACGATTGCATCTCGAAAAAATGGATGGCAACCCAACGTATAGTAACTCTTATTCAAATCTTATAGGAATCTTATGAAAATCTTATAAATTTCTTACATAAGAATCTAATCACTATAGTATGCATTTCTCTCGACTGAAGCCTATAAGATTTTCGTAAGATTTCAATAAGATTCTTATAAAGAAATTATACGAATCTTTTATAAGATTAGATCTCCAGGAAGGGAGAAATCAACTTTGTCATTCTGAGACAAATATTCCTTCAGTTCTACTTTAGAGAAATTATAACTTTACCTTCTGAAAACTTGATCTTTATTAGACTAAAAGCATATCGGAAAAAAGCGGATAAATATTGAGAATACTATAAAAAAAAATAGCGTTATTTTTCTTTTCCAATCAAGTCCAAGTGAACACATATATTTTCGCTATAAGTTGATAATTAATAACGTAAGGTGTTTTTGACTTAATTTTTCGCTCACTTTTTCGTTGAACCGATTACAATTCATAAGTCACGCTGTGAGAACTTCCTTATTTTAATTAACTTCATGCCAAAAGTCATTTATGAAAGAAAAAATTCATTAGAAAATTCATAATGATAGGAGTTTTGCGTGAAAAAAGCATCTACTCTTATAAGAAATGTCAGTGGATTTTTGAAATCAACAAACGTTCCTGTCATGTGATCTTTTTTTATAAAAACATAGAGAAATTATCCAACTTATAAACTATCGACCTAGTAAGAATTTCATAATTTCATTATGATATTCGGAAAAGATTCTTGTTATTTTGTCCATAAAGTATTAAAGTAGGCATTTGTAAGCCATATTATACTTATTAATCCAATTTTTCAGTCAAAATAGTGTGCTATCTTCTATGAGTTTTCTTATTTTAATCTACTATTCCAGTATTTTTAAGTTGCTATGTACTGATCAGTCTGTTTTTGATTGTTGACATTCGTCTCTCTCTCTCTCGCTCTTTCCTGTATTTTATTATTAATTTGTTTGTTAAAAAGGCGTTAATCAAATATTTCTCTCTTCTACTGCTCCATTTATCATAGTAATTTCGATGTTTGTCATCATTAGAAAAATGAATAAAATTTATTTTTAATTCAGATACAAGGGTGTGCCATTCTAATCTCATCTTGTTTCCGTGATAAGAAAACATAGTTAAAATAATTGATATAAAACATGTAGAAGCGTATACAGGAAACGATGTCAAAAAGTCTAAATCTTCAATGATAAGGAAATTAAATTTCTAGGTAAACAGAAATAAATAGACAAAATTCTTTCCTTTTCCAGCTTAATGTTTAGAGAAAAAAAAAAAAACAATAGTTGTACAATTAATTATTTTTCTCGTGATTCAAGGTGATCTTTTATTAATCGTATCGATTGATCTTGTTGAAAAAAGATGGTCTAATTTTTCTCTCATTTTGCTTTAGAGTGAAAACTTTGTGACATTTTTGTTAGATAAAACGCTGCCATTTAATTCTAAACTCGATTTATTCAACAGTTAAGTTTTACGTCAAAAGAAAAAGAAAGTATTTTTTCAAAGATTTTGCAAGTAGAATAATATATTTGACAATAAGATAAGTTATAATGTCATATAACGAAGAAAAAGGAAAGAAAAACAACGAAAAAGTAGAGCATTGAATTGATAGTGTTTATAATTTAGAGAAGGAAAAGAACAGCAATTTTTTAGAAAAATTAATCTTTCTGTGAAGAATAGCGTTTATTCTTTTGTTTTATTTACTGTTTGATATCTTTCTATTAAATAGTAAACAACGATTATCACTTACACTACACTTTTTACAGATCACATTTTTCTACTTGAAACAACAATCGATCAGCAGTATTTTCTACGTTAAGTTCTACTAAATAACAAAAAAAAGAAAAAAATGTCTGAAAAAGACCTTGCGATGTAACAGTCGGAATCATCCGCAATTATTTTAAAAAATAGAAAATAGGAAATTTTAATTCCAGTTGGATGATCTTTTTGTTAGTGTGTGTGTAAACTATTTCTCTAATGTTTTATCTTTATGTTTAGATTAATTTATGTCTAATAATGGGAAATCATTTTGGAGCTACTCTGGATGATACAACAATCGCCTTAATTAAACGGAAAACAAGAATGAAAACATCGGAAATATATGTGTGGTACAATGAACTGAAAGTAGGCAAATAAGATATCTAAAATAGCTAAAAAGAAATATTTTTATGAAATATTTTTCATGCGTGAAAAAATAAACGTATCTATTAGTTTTGAGTATGTTGTAGTGCAAATTAAAATTCCGCGGAATTTAAAATTCCACTAGTGAAGATTAAAATTTCAATCTCTACTAATGGAAAATAAAATACAGATGCCTGCATATGGGCTGAAGCATGTATTCTCCATAAACTAAGCTTTGAACTACAAGATCGAGCTTACAGACTTCCAGAACTCGATGAGAACATCCGAGGGCATTGCAAGATGTGAGACTAAGTGATAAAACAATATCCCAAATGATATGGTCTGACACATGCGTATATCTAGGCTTCGTACTTTATGTTGTTGTCTTTAACGCACTTCAGATGTATTTTATTAAAAAAATGCACCTAAAGTGCGTTAAAGACAACCTCATTTTTGATCAGTGAGAAAATATTTCCATATAAAAGACGCGTCACGATGTCTTAGGAAGGCTCTGAATTCCACTTTTATTCACCCATAGTGTCTCCGTGTAATGTCGTAGATGCTCAGTCAAAGCACCTTGGATGCATTTCGGTGAGGAAAGGTTTTTAAAATCCAAAACCGATTTTTTATACAGGATTTTTAGCATTTTTTTTCACATCCCGAGAAGGAAAGTATATTTTTCGAACAGATAAATTTAAAACCTGAGATAGCACTTGAAGTATCTGTAGTAAAAATTCTAGCTAGATCAAACCATTTTTTCGAGGGGTCGTAATCAGAGGTGGGCAACTCGGGCTAGGTACAACTCCAACTCTGCTTCAAATCCGAGTTGACATCTATTCGTTCTTTTTCCTTCCTGTTTTTTAATTCGTCCGTATAACAGTCATGTTTTCTTTTATAATAGTATCATACTATTATTTCGCGTTTCTTTTTCTTCCGTGTGATACATGTGCAGCGAGATGTGAGGTGTATCATATGCTATTATATGCTGAGTATACGTTTATATCTCTCGTGACAAAAATAGATAAAAACCAAAACAAAAAGAACTTTCGCGAAGAAAAGGAAGGGTGTTGAAGAAATTTTAAACCGGAGTTGGAGTTGACAAAATCTGTCATCAACTCAATTCCGGTCGTTTAAAAAGCAAACTGCAACTTAATTCCAACTCCGCAAAAAAAGATGCTCAACTCCGGAGTTGAGTTGCCCAGCTCTGGTCGTGATGTGACTGGATGAAAACTGGAGTTTTGCAGAAAACCCATAGGAGAACATGTACAGGAAATTCTGGGCAAAATACTCTGTTAGACTCTATACAGATCTGAATCTCATTAAGTACAACACACTAAACAAGCAATTAAGTATATAGAAGAAGTAAAAATAAATAAGCACGGAGAGAAAGCTCAAGGATGATTTACAGAAAATAACTGAAATTTCGATGTTTCACTAGAATCCATAAGACAGTGGAAAAGGGAGAGACGAGCATTACCTTGTAGATTTGTAGCAAACAAATCTGCTTTATTGTATTGACCTCAAACCACTGTAGGGTTTGTTCGAGACAGAGCTGGAACCAACCGGTTGAGAAAAGATAAACCGGTCCGATCCGGCTGGTAAACGGGCCGGTTGGAATTATAACTCAAACCGGCGAAAACCTGGCGAAGTTTTTTGAAAATCGATTTTCAGACAGAATCTTCCCCATAAATGAATTAGTTTTCGAGCGCATGTAAGAGAACTTTCACAATAACGAGTCTATAATATTTAACCTTAAAATAAGTAATGGAAATAATATCTGTCTTGCGCATCGTCTTATTTATTCTGACTGAAAAAGACGTGAAATTTTTTTATTTTTTTGACGAAAAACAGGGTAAAAAGAGCAGATGTTTCAAAACTTTCAATCGGTGAAATACCGGTCTCTACCGGCCCGGTTGACTTTTTCAACCGGTCGGACCGGACCGGTTCCAGCTCTCGTTGTGCCTTTTGTGTCCATGATGTCTATTCACAGAGTCAAAGATAATTTTCTTAAAAAAAGCAGGAACTTAGCGGTGAGTTGTTTATTGTCAAATAATAAAACCATAATTGTATTTTAATTTCAAGATTGATCCCGTAAACAGCTGTAACGAGGGGATCTCGTGAACTGTCACATCACTTTTTTAGCCAAACCTAGTGTGTTATAGGTTATTAACTATGCTGAATCCGAATATCATAGTGGTAACTTCCAAGGGACCTTGAGAGAGTGGTTTTTCAGAAACTCTAAAAACTAATCCAAACCTTTCTTAACGAGGCATGATTCCAGCCCCTAAAGTTCTGATTAAAATGAGAGATCTCCCAGTTCTACACGACCTTTCTTTGCAAAGTTAGAGAATTTACAAGAAAAGCCTTAAATTAATTTCTTATTTCTGTAGCTTTGAGCTGACAATGAACATTTAGGGCTTTTCTTGTAAATTCTATAACTTTGCAAAGAAAGGTCGTGTAGAACTGGGAGATCTCTCATTTTAATCAGAAATTTGCGGGGGAAACATGTTATTAGATATTTCTAGAGATCAAAAATGAATATTGCAGCCCAAAGGTTTATATTGTACGACAATTTTTTTTTTTGTTCATTTAAGCAACGTTGTCCAAATGGAAAAATGAGCAAAAAAGATATGATTCGATGTTATAAAGAATTGTCAACGTGTGATGTTGATAAAATAGAACATGTTGTTAATGCTATTCACAAATGTTTTGATACGGATAACGACGGAAAAGTTGGTAATATTTATCAGAAATATATTAATTAAACTAGAACTGTTTCATCCTTCTTTTTGCTTGTTTTCACAGATTTTAAAGAATTCGTCATTGGCTTTTTGTTAACAACCAAAGGGACGATAGAAGAGAAGCTCGATTATACATTTCAATTATACGGTATGAACAAAAGAAAATATTATTTTAAAAATAGTAGAATGTATTCTTCATCATGATGATTGTATATTTTGCAGATCTTGACAAAGATGGATACATCGATCAAGAAGAAATCGATACTATGGCAAAAGTAAGTAGACGTAACGAAAAATATCACTGCACAACTAAATAAGCTAAAATTCTACTAGTTAGGGAAGGCATACTGACTCTTTTCTTGTTACTGAAAACTTGTAATATTGAAATAATTAAAAATGACAGAAATCTTACACTAAGGTCACATTATAACGTTAATCATGATTAAACTGATCATAATTAATTTACATCCCAGGACGAAGAAAATAGCGAAGTTTGTGGTTCACTAATGCCTCTTTGAAAGAGTGTTGAATGGCCGTTATACGACTATTTAATACAACATCATTAACGAGCCGTTTTTTGACCGTTTTCAAAAGGCACCAACCACTCGTTTTCAAAGTACGTCTGCTTCAGACCATGAACTAACAATGTACGATCAAACTAAAAATGGACAGTTGATGACAGCGTTAAATGCTCATTTTTCGAGCTTGACCGCAAGCTGCCCATTTCAGATCGTTGAATTAACGATTTAAAAACAACCGTCGAATAAAACCGTTATTTGGCCATTTTTACGCTGTTTCAGTGCTTATTTTAAGAGCGTTAATTTAACGGTCTGAAAATGAACAGCTTACACTCTAGAAAAAATGCGACTTAGCATCAAATTAAGTCGCATTAATGTGAAAATAAGATACATTAATGCCACTTAATTTGTCCTAAGTTGCATTTTTTTAGAGTGTACGGTCAAGCTCGAAAAATGAGCATTTAACGCTGTCATCAACTGTCCATTTTTAGTTTGATCGTACATTGTTAGTTCACGGTCTGAAGCAGACATACTTTGAAAACGAGTGGTTAGTACCTTTTGAAAACGGTCAAAAAACGACTCGTTAATGATGTTGCATTAAATAGTCGTATAACGGCCATTCAACTCTCTTTCAAAGAGCCATTAGTGAACCATAAATTTCGCTATTTTCTTCGTCCTAGGATGTAAATTAATTGTGATTAACGTTATAATGTGACCGTAGTGTAAGGTCTTGTTTTATAAGTAATTACTGTTCTGTGTGAAATAACGTTCAAGAGTAATCATTTTTACTCGTTCGACAAAAAAAGATGAACGGACGCTGGCACAATTTTTGATATGTATCTGCTGTTTCTAATCATGAGTTAACTTTTCAATCATTATTAACACTGTACTATGTGATGGTAGTGTACCGTTATTTGAAACAAGTACCATATAAAAATACTCACTATTTTCATTAATACACCGGAAGAAAAAAACAAGAAGAAAACTTGTAAACTTTTATACATAAACTTTTTCACGATATTTAATTTTTAAATAAGATTTTTTCGATTTCAAAGTTTAATTAGACTCTTTTTGTTTTGATTTTTAGTATGTCTTACGAATGCTAGGCGGTGATGGTAATGAGCATGAATCAATTGAACTTTTAAAACACTTTATAAGTTCTTGTCATTGTAACGATCGCGGTTTAATAACAAAGGACAATTTTATTCGTGCATTATCAACGAATGTACTATTATCACAATTATTATCACCTTTTACATAGAGAATGCTATTTTTATATTTTTTCATATTCATTCTTCCTTTTTCTCTGTTTTAGTTGTTCTATTATATAAAAATCATCCATTGTGTTGAACTCTTTGTGTTTCATAGTTATTTTTATTATTATCTACATCTCATTTTATTTGTTTCACGTTGATGAACCAAATGAAGTATGACGCCCAATCTATGCATTAATCACTTTACTGTTGGACGAAAGATACGATCTTTTCTCATGAGTACATATCACACAGCTTTGAAGAGATCTGTGTCGAAAAGATATATTTTGATGTGTAGGTGGTATTAGAGAAACAATGGGATACCGGAATTATTTTTTAAATCCTACAGTCAAAGTTAACTAAACAAAGATAATTGTCATTATCGTCAAAACACGCTAAGCTTTCCACACTATATAGAAATGAAAAGAAAACAAGGAAACATCATGATTTTATATTTTCTGTTGATTAAAAAGAATCAGAGAAAGAAAAAGAAAAGGGCCAAACGAGTCTTTAATACATACTCATATTTTTTGAAAAGACTGACTAGCTGAATAATCAGCACAAGTCATGATGCTTTTACGAATGCTATTATTCGTGTTATACTTAATTCTAACAGTTTCCATCTGGGTTTTATAATACCACGATCTATTTGTCGTATCAAGTCTCTAAAACAGCCGATGTATGTTTCAAGAGATGCATATCATTCATGTATAATATCAGTTTGTTGATAGAATACTGGAAGAAGAAATTTCTCATGCATGGGTATATAACTCAAATAATTATAGTATTTATAAAAAAAATCAAACATAATCACTCAGAAAGGGCTTCTGTTCATGTCATAAACAGAGAAAAAAATGTATGTTATTAGAACGTAAAATCACGTATCATGACAAAAAAACCTTAAGTTTAAAATCATGGATAATCCGGCCTGTAACGACTTCTTGTGGAAGCGAAAAGCGTGAAATACAAACTAGTAAAGTAAAAACCTTGAATAGAATATAAAAAAAGTGAAAAAAAGTATGAGGTAGCTTAAGTGCTGTGAAAAAGTAAAAACTCATTATACTGGCGATACCATTTTCCAAAATATCGTCAGCAAAACAGTTCTTTTCTTTATAGTATTGACGCTTTCATTCCCCAAGACTTTAATGCATGGTGTTGGGTCAAACACTTATGAAAATGGAACACATGCCACCTCGATATGACTGTCTCACGCCGAAAACAAGTTATTTTTTATTTTTAAAAAAGTTAAGTTTTTATAAGGTGCCGGTTATTCAAAACTTGAGCGCATTTCATTTTTTCGATATTTATACATGGATCGATAGAGTTCATCAAGCTAAATCAGAATATGAGTGTTTTAGCCTTACAAAATTTGTTTCGGAACTTTCGGAACAAAATAGAAGTAAAAATAGACTATGTATTAGCGACATTTATGCATCTAAATTTCGAATATACACTTCGTCATTTGCAACAAAAATTTTTATGCCATAAGATGGTCCGCCATTCAAAGTATATTAGACACTACTTGAATTTTGAAAACTTTTGAATTTTTACCAAATGACAGAATGGTTTGCCCACTGTGTTATAGTCTTCTTACAGGTTAAACTACGGAGAATTCAGTGGAGGTATCCAAGAGATTTTTAGAGTTTTCCTAGGAGATCTCTAGAAAACCATATTTACTAAAACCTCGGTTATGCACGGCTATTTCGCTAGAACATAATTCAGTTGTCGTTGTTTTATTATTTTATTCTCTATTGTAACTGTTCAATGGCTATACAAAGATAAAAATATAATGTTTAATTTTCTCTATATGGTTTTTTTAGAGATCTTCTAGAAAATCTTTGAAGATCTTATAGATACCTCTAATTGATTCTTCATAGCTTTTAATCTGTATGAAGACTATAAAATGAAATTTGAGTTAAAACTTCTCTTCAAAATAAAAGATCAGGTGCCCGATTCTGTACATGGTCAAAGAAAATGCTGTATCTCAGTGAAAAAACGAAATCTAGAAAAAAAGATCTGTAACTTGTTTCATGCCGTGATGGTGAATGTAACCATGCAAAAATACTGGCTTCATCTCTATTTTAAAAAGAGTTGATTCTTTTGGCAGTCACTATTGACGAAAAATCTAGATTTTTAATGGTCATATGATATTTGAATGACATAGAAACTGTTTATTGTTGATGCAGATTTTCATGTCGAATCAGAATAAACAAATTTTAAACATCCGAAACTCACTCGATTGGAGATTTACGCCTACGAGGGAACCATCTCAAGTAATACATCCTGATTTTGTTCAAGCCTGGCTACTTGCATGTAATCAAGGACGCTGATTACGAATATGATAACCGTTTGGTTCCGTAGATCTTTCCTAGTCTCTCTTTGGAGAACCGGTTTTCTAGAAATTCGGTGAAACAGTAGCAATGTTCTTCCAACATGTTGAGATTATAGCCTGTAAATTTTGCATCAAATGAAATCTCTGCCAGCTCTCCACAACCTTTTTTTGCAAAGTTATAGAATCTACAAGAAGCGCATTAAGTTAATTTTTTCCGCTTTCTTTCTATAGCTTCGAGCTGACAATGAATGTTTAGTGCGTTTCTTCTAAATTCTATAACTTTGCAAAGAAAGATCGTGGAGAGCTGGCAGGGATCTTATTTTGATGCAAAATTTACAGACTATAATCCCAACATGTTGGAAGAACTTTGCTACTGTTTCACGGGATTTCTAGAAAACCGGTTCTCCAAAGAGAGACTAGGAAAGATCTACGGGACCAAACGGTTATCATATTCGTAATCAGTGTCCTTGATTACATGCAAGTAGCCAGGTTTGAAGAAAATCAGGGTGTATTACTTGGGGTGGTTTGCTCGTCAGTTTTTAAAATGTATATTGTTTTTAAATGTATTTTAAAATCTTAAATTTCCAGTTTTTAAAATTTTCGATCCTCAAAATTTCTTTTGGAAGGCTAAAACACACATATTCTGATTCAACTCGATGAGCTCTATCAATCCATGTATAAATATCGAAAAAATGAAATGCGCTCAAGTTTTGAATAAGATGAAACCTTAATTTAAATTTCAAATCAAAATTTGAAAAAAATTATTTGTTCCAAAATTCTTGTGAGAAATCAAAGACCAAACAGATCTGAGTTTCGACCATTAAGTTTGAGGAAGTTGAGAGAGAAAATGGGCTCAGATGGTCAAGAAAATCAAGAATGACCAAGAAAACGAGCCCGGAATTCTAACAAAATGTGATCTTTCGTTTGGCATCATCAACAGCCTACAGTTTAAACAATAATTTCTTCATCTAACATAATTTAAAAGAGCATGTCCTCCCCTGCATATTTTTGAAAAGTTGTTGAGCAAAAAGTATCCTTTTCCTAAAGTATCCAAAATAATCAAATTTAAAAATTAAATTTTTTCCAAACTATTCTTCATTTTAAAACTTAAATATCTCAGCTAGCATAAAACATAAACAAAATATTTTTTTACCATTCAATAGCCAATTTAATTCTTTACACTCGACATAAGATTAGTTTTTTCAAACAATGCATTCTCAGTTTGTTATAATGATAATGCCAATGTCCGTTTGAATGGTCTTTAAGAGTTGATATGACAGTCAATTATTTTTTGGTCAGAAATGTAGGAAAAAATATTAATCTACCTCATCCTAAAAATCATCTACATGAAAGTGCGAATAAAATTTAAGCTTTATCACTCATATCGTTTATTGGCCGTTTTTTTCTACCTTGGGTTTTCCCAACGTTCCAATTGAAATGAAAAATTTCTATTTATAGAGATCATAGGTCTGAAATTGTAATTTATTGTTATATAAAAGAAAAGCAAAAACATAGAATATTTCCAGTTTGTTTTGCCAAGTATCCGCATGAATGCCCATTTTGTAGTGTGAATGTAGTTTCTCTTTCGTTTAATACTAACATTTAATACTGGTAAAGTGTTGACATTTAACACTATACAGTCGAGTGGCGTAGTGTAACACAACATCTAAATATTTCAATTCCTTGTTTGCATGTTTGAAATATCGTTTAAGAGCAAATGAAAGTAGTGACGTGAGTTATATCAAAAGTTAACATTTTATGTAAACGCACTGTGTCAACTCATCAGTGTAAAGTTAATTGTCGAGAAATAAAATAAATACAAAACCGAAAATATTGGAAACTTTTTCGTTTCAAATTAATTCTGGTGTAACTTATTAACGACATGTTCGCGAACAAAATGATGTTTTCTATCGCAGATGACTTGATTGACTCTAACCCAGAAATGTCCTCTGGTTCTTTAATTTGTACTTTTTTGAAAAGGGATTTTGAATAGTCTCTGAGATCATGAGGCCATCAGGCTACAAACTAGTAAAAACAAACAGAGACACTCCGGTAAAAGGTGGCTACATCAAGTCTTTGGCTTCGGCTTTACAAGCTCTCTCCTTCAATTTGGAAATGAGTTACTCCACGAATAAGTACATTAGTATGGAGATTGTTGCAATCTTTGGGGCTCCAATTTTGATTTAACTCTCTTCTCTTCCTTTGATGTCCTTGGTGCGCCCCTAAAAACATATCGCTTCACTGATGGATAGGACGTAATGAATAAAACGTATGTAGTCATACGTTTGGTCAAAAAATGCTGTAGTAGACTTTTTGAAAGAGGATAACAGATCATGCTGATAAGACTGATTATTATCGAAGAGAAATTTTAGCATCCGAAAAGACAAAACAAAATAGTAATATCCATCGGTTAGAAATAAAAGACATAAAATTGATTAAGATATAGAATGATTTCAGATCTAGCGATACGCGACTCCTACCCACAGATTTGCAATTATTGTTTTTATAAAAGAATTCATTCATTATTATTACATTAAATAGCTCATGGTTTCTTTCTTTTTCTATTCAAAGTTGTAAGGATAAATATGTAAAAAGGTGCTGATCAAAAGGCAAAGTATTACAACTAAGGAACTTCCCGAACTCGTTACACTTTTGCTAAATCCTAAATTGAGATCA